CTGGGCAGGGGATGGATAATGAAATACAGAGGCCAAACATAAATGTGTCTCCACTGATTACTAGCTGGCATGTGCATGTGTGAGCTAATATTTTATAGGTGTTAATACTACATGTTCTTACAAAGGAAAAAAAAAACACTAAGTTCACAAGAAAAGCTTTTCCTTTTATTTTTTCATTTAAACACTGGGGGGCAAAGAAAATATCAAATCAACCAGTGCAAAGTACATCTTGTTAAGCTACTGAATCTATTCCTTGAAACCTTCCAAAAAAACCCAATTTTCAGAAAGGCATTTTCAAGATGAGCTTTCCCAGGGCAAAATATAATTTCAGAAAAGCTACAAGTGATTAAAAGAATGCCTTGTGAAAGCACTCTGAATTACTGGCTCTATTATTAACTTCTGCTCTAAAACCAAAAGGCTAGTAACATTAACAATCAAGTTCTGTAAATCTTCATCTGAAGCAGATCTATATTTTCTTTTAAGTAACTGTCCAGGCAAACAATTTTGCAACTTTTATGTTGATTTTATTCACATAACTATAAAGCAAACATGATTTTGGGATGCTTTACAACTTATAATACAAAAAGATATTTCAGGAAATAACAGTTGAGAAATGAAACTTTTCCAAAATTTCTAGACAAATGTCTTCAAATGATCAAATGTCTGTATGTTCCTGTAGAACTGTGTAGAACACAAAGTTTGAAGTCAGTGTAAAATGCCAGGTAAGCCAATTATGTTAATGTGGTAAGTGCATTCAAACCAATATCATGAAGTACCAGGGGAAAAAAATGTATGGAAAGTAATAGTGACTGGTACACAGTACATGGCAAAAAATTAATTACATCTGATCATAACTCCAAAACAATACAGAACAAACTGGTAGAAATATTGTAACAAACTTGTAGAAATATTGTATCAGAAATAACTAGTAAGAATACTTCTGTAATGGAGTAAATGAACCCTCTCTAGCCTCTCCTGAAAGGGAGGCTAAGGAAAACTTCATTCTCCTAAAAGAGGAAACACCTTTGACCAAACTGATCAGACATCAGCCTGATATCTCAAAAGAGTTAATAATTTCATTAACAAGCACAGAAAATATTGAATACTATCACAATTATCTTTCATGATCAATACAATTTCTTTATGTCCTACAGTTACACCATGCACTTAGCATTTTAACAGCAAGTTATTTTTAACTGGGTCTCAGATACTGTCTACACTGTAAAGACTTAGATTAGTTGTTTTCTGAAAAGATCATTTAAAGAATGGGATACCTTGAACACAACACATAGCATGAACTGATTTTTCCTTACTGACATCCTCCAAACCTCTGATTAAAGGACACATGCACATTTTTGCTCCTGAGCAAAGTAAGTGGGAGGCAACATCACACTGCTACTAAAAATCTCAGAACAATTAGTGCTTATCTCTGAAAACCACTAAGCACTTCCATACACTTAATACAAATCATCTCTCACTCTTGTGCGTTGCAAAAATTTGGGAGCAGATATTCTACAATTCCGTGATTTGATTCTGACATGATAAGCACTGCCAGGAAGAAGGACACCACAAACAAGTGAGCTTGTTAGCTGATGTGCAACTATGGCCAGGAAGAAATCCCAACTGGGACTAGCTAAGGCCATTTTCCACCCATTCTTGCTGCCCTTTTCTCCTCTTCCTCCATCTTTTGCTCTCAGTACTAATACCTTTCCTAAGTCCTCTGCTCTCTTTCTTATGTTCAGAACCTAGGAAAGTGGTGGAGCGGGAGGGCAAGCTTTACCTGCTGCACTGGAGCTGGCAACTTGGACCTGTCCCATACATTGATAGTGATGACTGACATGCTGGTTGGTTCAAGTCTGAGGTCTGGGAAAAAGGGTGCCTTCCACATCAGCTAAATTGTACTGCTTTAATGTTTGGAAACTAATGCTGTAGGATTCAGTCAATGGAGAGGGGCAGTAGACTCCTCAGCGATTATGAGTCCATATTACACAATTGGCATGAGTATTTCTTCTTAAACGTGTCTTTAAACTTCTAGTTCCTCAGAAACAGCAACACCATAACATCCCAGTCTCTGAGGGTGTGGGGAGAGAAAATGAGGATAGAATGACACTGCTGCTTTTCTAACAAACCACCTCATAAGTGGGATTTAACTTGTGGTTAGTTTTTTTATTCCACTTTACCTTATAGTATGTTAAGGGAGCTTTCCTGGCAGCTTCCTCTATCTTGCATCTGCAACTACTGGCATTCAAATCAGAAAGCAGCCACAACTCTGGCTTTTAGTTAATTACTTCATAGGCATAAGGATTCAAGATAAACCACAGTCTTCACAGCCACCTTGAGGACAGATGGTTTCTAGTTTTTGCATTGAAAACTACACTGAAACAATCCTGCTGCACTAACTGTAAGCTGTGCTTATGACTAGCAGGTAAGTTTTGTTTAAGTTCTAAACTGTAGAGGTCGTAACCATATAATGATGTCTTTGTTTCTCTCACATTGACAGAAGTAGACAAGTGGGGGGTGCCATCTCAAAGCCTGATCTGAAATAAAAATCTTCTTAATGTGATGTGGTCTCACAGCCACTCACAGCAAAGGCTCCTCCTGCCAGTTCTCCTTCTTAACAAAGGCTCCTCTTGCCAGTTCTCCTTCTTAACAAAGGCTCCTCTTGCCAGTTCTCCTTCTTAAACCATCAAATTCTAAGGAAGCCATTTCCAGGGGAGCCATAAGCTTGGTTTTCTAAACCCCCTCCTATCCCTGCTGCGATACAAATTCAGTAATAATGCTCTTGGCAACTTGTGGAAGGGTGCCTTAGAAGACAAAGATAAAGATGATCACCGTCTGTAATATTTCCAATTAATTTTGTGACCTTCTGTTTTACTAATTCCACCCAAACCCTCCCTCAAATACTCCAACCTTCCAAGTTCCAGTTTCAGTTATGGGCTGAAAAACATGTATATACACATTAGCTGACCAATCACTTCTACCCACAATTCAAAAATTTACCCAAGTAATTGTCCTCTCTCCTCATACTAGGCCCATATAGTTACCCAAATTAGTTTCTGAAATTGTGCTGCTTCTCAGTGGGTGCTCAAATGAGAATTTGATGATGATGAAAAGCTCTGTCACTGTCCTGTTGTTTGGGAAGCTCATTAGGTGAGATACAGATAGTGTAAGTGATCCACTTGGTTTATGGGGTTCTATAAATGATAACTTAGAAGATATAAAAACAAGTAACCGTATCTCAACAATTTAAAGCCAGTAGCACTACAATAATTAAAACATCCTTCTAAACTGTACTGGCAGAACAGGCAACACCTTTATAATCAGCTTATCTGCGGAAGCAATCAGACAATAAAAACTGAGGCATTTTAGGGACTAATAAGGCTGTGGAATCTAATGACTATAATAAATCTTTAGCTGCAGTTATTCCAGAACAATTTCCCTTGCAGTAAAAAGTATTCTACAGGGTTTTCTTCTGAAATTACTATTGGCTGGTCAGATGCTGATTGCAAGAAACAATTGTGGAATGATAATTTTATTTTTGCCAGGCATTTCCATCATTCACCTCTCCCTTTCATCATGGAATCTTTTGGCTTCATTCAAAGGTTAGAATCAAGCAACCGTTTGACAAGACCGGGAATAAATTTTTTCATTGACTTTCTGTACAAAAATACATGCTAATATTCTGAAGTCCTATACATTTAGTTCAGGATGGTGTTGTGCAGCAGTTTTGGGCTTTGAGAACTACATTTCTATGAAGTACAACATCAGTCATTCTGCCCAGAGCTCATTTTTGATGCAGGCTACAACTAAATATGTAAGTAAATCAACAGGTAGTATGTATACCCTTAAAAGTAGAGCTTACATGGGTGGAACTCAGCCCATTCAACTTGATGTGATAATGCTGGAGGTGAGCTAAGCATGTAAGCTCTTCCCATAGCCAGTGGAGCTCTGGATAAGGTTCTCAGTCAAGTTTAGGTGGCAATTCATCTCACCCTACAGCAAAAAAAACCTACATTTAGCCAGAACTGCATATAACCTCCACAGGTTATGCAGGTTACAGGTGTCACTTTGGACATCCTACATACCATATGAAAAGATAAAGACCTATAGTAAACTGAGGTGAATGTTGACCCTGGTATCAGAATGACACTTGTGGGGCTAATTGTGGAATGACACCATCCTAAGCGTGGCTTATGTATACCTCTGTCCCTGATACAACACAACTGTGTGCTCCAACTTCATTTTCACTTTCATGTTTTATCAGTTTTGAAAAGTGAAAATTATTGTAACTACCTATGCTGATATTCAGTGTATGAAAGAAACAACTCATTGCAAAAGAATGATTCTTCCTATTATTATATAAATTCTTTACCAATATAAATGAATATTCAATACATGCCAATATAAGCAAAAATCAGATAGACTCTGATCCCAATGAAGGAGATAGTGCAAGCTCCATGCAGTTACAGGGAACACATGGTGCCATCACCAGTGTGATTGTAAGGAGAACAAATTCACAAATACTCTTAGCAAAACCTCACTTTTCAACCAAACCTGCCTCTGCATGTTCCTAAGCCTTCCTGAGTTGACAAGGACTGATTTTAGTGCCACCTCTCTCCCCAGGCTTAGTACAGCAGACAGTGCTGAACCCAGCTTTTTTGGCTGGGCAGCCCAGGTTGCCTCTCACCTCCAGATGCAGGAGGGGGCTGGTGACCTCCTGAGTCCTAATCTAGGAGTATAACACTGAACATTTGACTCCCGAAACAGCAGAAGTTTTTAACAGCAGCCTGTGACAATGTAAGAGGGGAGTATCTTGATGTCAGCTTTGGAAATGTCTATCCACTTACAAAAGCAAACACGCTTTGGATGTTTATTCAACTCCAGTTTATCTACATTGCCCAGGAACAAAGCTTCACTACTATTTGATATGATTTAAATCAATCCTCTCAGAAAGCATGCTTTTGAATTTCAGAAGAACAGAATGTTAGTTTCAGACTTACCTTTTTCTGTTTTGTCTTGTTCAGTTTCTTTTTCACTTTTCCCTAGAATATTAAAAATATTATTTCATTGAAATAAATTTATGTTAACTGTTTATGATAAAAGATACAATAAAATGCAGCTTACATGCAAAATATCACTGGGCCAAAAACTTTTTTATTTTTTGAAGTAACCATAGATTACTGTCTGAACTATATAGTCACATAAAGCTCTTTCTCTACAGACACTTCAAATATTACCTTGTTGCTCCTGTCACAAAAGATTTGATAAACTTTTTCCCCTTAGATATTTGGTAGATTTCGATGATACGCATTTACAATGCAAGCTATTTTGCAAGGAATAAAAAAACCAGTTCAATAAGTAAAAACTCTTGGGACCACTAGCTTACTACATATATTTATGATTAAAATGCACAAAATATTAAAATCATTTGGGAACCCAGGTCGCATTTTCGGAAGTGACTTGGGAACTTGGAAGCTTTGGTCTTGCTTCACCTTTTAAAATAATTTAACCCATGAATACTGTAAGCATCTGAATGCACAGGTAAATATTAACTAAGCACAAGAGTCTGCAGCAAAAGATAGACTACATACTGCTCCAAAATCACATACACTCATATTCTGAAGGTAGTACGTAGACACAGGCTTGTTCTCTCCTCTTTTTCTCCTCTCTCAGCACTTTTTGATCCTGCCCTACTCTGTAACATTTAAAGCATCCTGCCACACAATTCTAATATTCTGTTTCCAGTTTCATCCCAATAAGCTTCCAGTATTTCCTCCCAATAAGCTCAAGTGAAAACACTAAAACAAGAGGTCAGTTGGTTTTTCAGTTATTTTCCTCTCTAACATATACTCTTTAATTTTGAGGTATACTTATATCTAGAAAAAACATTTTATTTCATTCCTAAGTCAATTAAAGACAGCTTGTCAGGATATTCAATCAAACCGACTGCTCAGAAGCTTTATATTGTGAATACACCAGATATAAACACTGAGAACCTTTGCTTTTTTTCCTGGAGAAACTGAGTTATACACACACAAGAAATCAAACTATTTCACGTTCTAATTTGACCCTTTACTACAAGGTGACAACTACTACTACAGAATGTGCGGACAGTACAAAAGATTTTTATATTCAGCACAAAGCAGAATAAGTATTAACTTGATTATGATATGGTAAATTAAATAAATACGGCCACATTAAAAGTCATTCACCTCTTCAATTGCATCATAAAATCCAGATTGTAAATTAAACTGAAAGAAATGACAAAAAGATCTATAGAGCCAGTTACATACTATGCAATAACCTGGAGAAGGAATATTATTACTATAATGGTGTATTAACGAAAGCGTGTTTCAGTACTTGCTAAAATATTGGCTTGGTTATTTTTGCTTGTTTTGTTTTTTGTTTTGTTTTGTTTTTTTTCTCATATACCACACAATACATAAAATGGCCATGTCCATCTGTATGGCATCAGAAATACAGTATTTTTAAAAAGAGCAATAATGCAGCTCCAGATGAAACACAATGGTTTATATACTCGTATTTCTACTATTTTTAGCAACTAAAAGCACATGAACAAGTCATGACAGGATAGTAAACCATTATATAACATGCTACTTAGCCATCCATTTTCTCTGAATCTTTTGCCTTATCAGCAACAGTTGATATTCTCACCTGACATCTCCTCTTTAATTCCCTCTACTCAGTGACCATCTTCCACCCATCTTGGGCAATCATGTTATTTCTGCAACTTCTCTTCCATCACAGGAAGAACGAGGTATGAACTAATCACTCTATAGCCTGCTCCTACCTCCCATTTCTTGCCTAGCTTCACATTTCCTTACTGAGGCTCACGCAACATATAACCCTACAGCTCTCTACACCTATCTATGCACTAGGATCTATTCTCCAAATTCTCAGACTTTTTTCAAACTGTATTCTGCTAAATTAGCATCTGCTATTTCTGACAAAGGTTTAAAAATATGCTCTCTCAAAGATATGATAGTAAATATCATATAATCTTGATACAGGGATATGATAGTAAACCTTGAGACTACTTTGTCATTAACTTCAACAAAAAAAATTTCCTAGCTCTTCAAACCACTCTCATCCATTACTCAACTTCTGTTTCCAGCAAAATAAATCTAGTTCAAGATCAGACAAAATTGTTTTAACCAATCTCTACAGTCTAGGACTGCTATCACTGTGTAACGTATGCACCAGGTATTCCCAAGAAGGTTTCTATTATAAAGAATAAATTTATCTTTCATATAACAGTATGTCTATAAATATTTGTGAGTGCATGTAACCATGACCCAAATGATTAGCCAACTGAAAATAGTTTCAGACCTTGTAGCAAGAAACCAAATCAACACTGTAAGTGTACAATACAATTTGTTATTTAAATGTACATAATTTTCGAAACTCAAAATTACATAATGATATTCAGTAAAAATATGACATTTTCCAGTCTCTTTCCTATATTTAATCTTATCAATTTACTTCTTAGAAAGAATAGGGTCATGATACAATACCTTTCCTATCACTAAGAATGAGAAAGTCACTTAAATTCTTAATATTAAAATTAAACTTTAGTATTTTATTTAAATTTGCTTTCCTTATTGATATTTCTTTCTGTAATTTTCAGAAAAGCAACTGAATCCAAGATTTCACAGATTCAGTGAGATATAGCAAGAAGCAATGTAGCAATGTGAAAACATAAAAATGAAATCTTTTTACTTTTCTTGAACTACTGTTCTTTATTCAGCAGCATTTCATCATAAAAATATGGAGGTGTTTGAAAACTGAAAAGATCAGGGAATACTTTTGCTTTAAACCAAAGAACTGCAAAGACATAACATCCTTGCTAGATTTCTGGTTTAAATTTTGGACCATAACCCAGAATACTTCTCTATGAAAGGTAGATATTATACTTCCCACACACATTTATGGCTGTTAAAGACCGATATCTCATCCTTTTTAGTTACAAATAGAAATTATATATCATGGGCAAAACTCAGGCCAAACTGGTTGCAAAAAGAAGAAACACAATACAATTATTGAAGACACAGACCTTAAAGAAATGCCCATTTCCTTCACACAATACCATCCAGAAAAAAAATTCTTCTACTTGCTACATTTCTTTCTCCTTGTAAATAATATCTCTCAAATATATTTTTAAACATTCCAAATTGTAACTTTGAAAAATAATAATGTTCATTAGTAGATGGGGCAAGTATTTATCCCCATAATTAACATCTACCACATTTTAGAAAAAATAATGACACTAGAAAGACAAATAGATTCTTCTGTGTTTTATTGCAGCCAAACATTAAAACAGATTAAATATACATTTTTTAATCGTTCACTTGACCTTGCTCAGCTTGGCATATTTTTGTAAACATGAAGCACGTAAAATCACATACCCAGTTACAAAATACTTAGAAGTTGATCACAGCATAATATATTCTCACATCCCATAATTCTACAAATAGGCTGCCACTGTTATATCAAAAGTCTTCCATATACCATTCTAAAATTATTCCCAAGCTTCCTGACAGAATATGGCTTTGTAAAAATTATTGCTCTGCAATTCACAATCACAGGTAATTTTACCAGAATATCCCATCCCAAAGCACATCACAGTCTAAGAGTATTATTGCTTTCCTGAAAAGTCTAAAGAAACCACTTTGGGACATCTGTGTTTGTTGATCAGAGGTACCACTCACTTAAGTGGAGTCTTACTGAAACGCCAAACAAAAAAAGGCAAGCATATATGATGCCCCTTTCACTATAAACGTTAGCAACTAAAAACCTGACTTCAAAACAGTACTATGGAAGTTTAAAATTTCCCTGTCAAACAAAAGGCAACCACCTTTAGGGTTACCAAACTGATTTTATTTTATCCTTCAAAATTTATCTTATTTCTTCTAACCTCCTATTTCAGGCTTAGCAATTTCCTAAAATCACAGCAATCATTCCTGAGCCAAAAAGGAACACATGCAAAATGCCAACAACAACAAAGTCTTTGTAATTGTGGAACAGCAGCACAGAACAGGTAAAAAGTACACCTGTTACGTTAAAATTCTAAATCACTTGAAGTCTAAATATCAGACGTACCATTTACAAGAGCATTTATGATGTTAGGTCTTAAATTTTGATATCCTGTTTTCTTAAGGTTGAATTTTCAATTTTTTTAAATAGATTTTACACGTTGTATTTAAGCAAATTTGACTTAAAATAATTCACTGTATAGAAAGCTTACTAAATTCAGCATTATTTCTTATTATTTTTATTATTTTACTGAATTCAACTTGATTCCAGCAACTCAGTTTCACTGCAATGTACAGACTCCCTGCCAAGCTATTACGCAGTTTCTATACATTTTTGCTTTAAAAACCAAATGTTAATAAATAAAAGGTTTGAATTCACACATAGAAAAAAGTAATTTAGTAAACTGCCTTTTTACTACCATGAATTAAACACACACATTTTGTACCTTATTAGACTATTTTAAAAATACCTGAAATTCATGTAGTGTAACTGTTGACATAACATCAGTGCAAAGAGATGCAACTCAAACTTCACAGCATAGTGTGTGCCTGATTTGTGTTTTCACTAAAATGCAGTTAGGCTGTATGCTATATCAGCAGTTGTAAGACATCTAAGAATTCATAATATTATATGTCTCATGTGACCAAACTGCTCTGTACATACTGTATGAATCCACAACAAAAGATATATACTAAAATCTGGAAAAAAAAAAGTGTACTTGCTGCTGCATTATAAATAGATTATTAACAATTGCTTGAACAGCACATCAGAAATGTAGCTCAAAGTCGCAACTCCATCACAAACACAGAAGAAAAATAATGAATTCACTAAACTTGACCAAGGGGGGAGAGGGGAGAAATCAGACAGGAATGTAAATTAAACATTCAAGTGTTAAAAAAACCTTACTAAAATGACAGTTGGCTAAAACCCATTTACAGTATCTTAGTGTTCATTCTCCAAACCCTGAACTGCTTGGTAATTACATCATAAGATCTATTACAACCATCTGCTCCCCTTTTGTAGCGTATGGTTAGGGCTGGTCCTCCTGATGTAGGGACTTTTCTTTTGAAGCTTTAAGTATCTGAAAAAATAAGGGGAAATCTATATTAAAGGACCAACCAAAACACAACTTACTCTAGAACAACCACAGAAAAAAAAAATCTTAAACTTAAATGCTAAAAAATGCAACTTTGTATCGGATTAGTTAATTTGAAAAAGCTACCATTTCTAGGAGCTATCATAATGAATATGCACAAAGTTGCTAGGTAAGGTGGGAAATATAAACTTTTAAATATTTACCTAAGCAGTAACTTTTTTCCTCAATATATGGCACTTCATATACCTTGTAAAGGAAATCTAGGCCATGGCACAAATACATTAAACTCACTAGGGGTTTTTTATGTCAAGGACACTCAAAATGGGAAAAAAGGAGCCAGGGAATGAGGAAGGGTCAAAGTTCTAAAGCGGAAACTTTTCTACAGGTAAAGGATTTCAGCAGTAAAATAAATGTAGATGAAGTGGGAAGGGGGTGGTGGAACAAACCTTAGATATTTTAAATCTGAACATTTACGAGAGGGATCAAAATACTCTAAGACAGAGAGAGTAAAAATATCCCCAAACCTATAATATGACTCCCTTAAAATAGGTCTTCAGCAAGTAACCCTCCCTGCCAGTGTAAAACAGGATTAGCAAAAAATCTTAAATAGGAAATATTTCAAGCTGACCTCTCATACCACTTAAGTGCATTAGTTTACAAGATTACAGACTACAACTACTTCAAATAGCCTCCTGCTGAAAAGAAATACCGGTAATTGTTTTAGAAGCAAACTTAAAAGAATTGGAAAACCATACCTACAGATACCTAAGGATGCAGTTGCCTACTGTATTTATTTTGTGCTATGCCCTGAAGTCAGCAAAAAATTTCAATTGCATTCTGGCATATTCAAGTCCCACACCCAATCTCCTCACTGGGGATATGAGAATGTTCCTCATAACTAAATTAATCCTATCTCCTGTTTTCTTTCCAAAACAAGTAAGATCCTATGTTTCAGATAAAATGAAACAACAGCTTCTAACCTGATAAAAACTGGTGCCGTCATGCTTCAAACAAAGTTGTACGTATTTAAATTACTGAAGAATAAGAACTTTACAGTGGTATTTCTGAACATCCTTTATGCTGCCTGAAGATATGTTTATTATATAAACAGCTAAAACCTTTCATATATGTAAAAAGCATATATATATGCATATAAACATGTTCTTCATTCAGAAGAGAGTTCTCAACTGTCTCTAGTACAATGAACTTTACTAGTATTATTGCTGACGTAACAGGAAATACTAGCTTTGAATATCTGAGAAATGAAATCACATGAACAAAAAAAGGACTTCTGTTAACAAAACCCTCTCATACTGAATCCTCCATCACAAATAATAATGAAAATCCCAAAGTAATAAATATGAATTTTGCAGTCTAAGAGGAATATGTGAGAATAATGTTGCCTTCAAACTGAATTTTTCACATCCAAAAAAGGCAGGTAAACAACTAATAGCAGGAAAACATAATAACAGTAGTAAAATTTTTATTCCTGATTAGTAGTTTAATTACATCTCCTGCTTCTTTTCTTAATTTTCAGAGATGCTATTTGAATTTTACTTTATGTGCCAAAACAATGAGCTTTTTACATAAACTGATACACAATGATTCTTCTGCCTTCAAAGTGGTTCCCACATAACTACACAAAGTACTAAAGATTCTTGAGTATGTCAGCACACTGTCGCAGATTTTATGCTGACCAAATTATTTTCGTTTTCTACTTGCTAAACAAAGAATCACGTACACGGTACTACATCTAGTAGTTATTTTGTGTTTAATAACTGAATAAACAGCCTGCAGAAGAGAAGGCTCAGGGGAGACCATATAGCAGCCTTCCAGTACCTAAAGTGGGACCTACAAGTAATCTGGAGAGGGACTTTTTACAAGGGCATTTAATGACAGAACAAGGAGGAATGGCTTTAAGCTGATAGAGGGGAGACTTATATGACATCAGAAAGAAATTCTTTACTGTGAGGGTGGTGAGATACCAGTACAGGTTGCTCAGAGAAGTTGTGGATGCCCCATCCCTGGAAGTGCTCAAGGCCAGGCTGAACAGGGCTTTGAGCAACCTAATCTAGTGAGAGACGTCCCTGCCCATGGCAGGGGGAGTCGTAACTAAATGAACTACATGGTCCCTGCCAACCCAAACCATTCTATGATTCTGTGATTGATTCTTTCACTTCTTCCTCATGAAGGGAAAAAAGAAAAAAAATAATCAAATCTAAAAAACCCTTTCAAAAGGATCAGAAATATATACTATTTCAGAGTAATACAAGTTATTTTTTTATTCTAATCATGTCTGAAAACAGTAAGGAATCTCTTTGTATCACAATACAATAAAAGGAGAGTGGATAATTAGGTTCAATTCCACCACCTTATTTGAAAGTCCATCTACAACCAAAGGGGTGACCTGTCGTACTCTGCACTGGTGAGGCTGCACCTTGAACACGGTATTCAGTTTTGGGCCCCTCAGTACAGGAAAGACATTTTGGTGCTGGAGGAGGTCCAGAGAAGGGCAATGGAGCTGGTGAAGAGTCTAGAGCACAAGTCTTATAAGGAGCAGCTGAGGGAACTGGGGTTGTTTAGCCTGCAGAAAAGGAGGCTCAGGGGAAACAATATCACTTTCTACAACTACCTGAAAGGAGGCTGTAGTAAGGTGGCAGTTGGTTGAGTCACCACGTCTGGAGGTATTTAAAAGACATGTACACACAATGCTGAAGGACATGATTTATTGGTGGACTTGGCAGTGTTAGGTTTATGGTTGGACTGAACGATCTTTGTGGTATTTTCCAGCCTAAATGACTCTATGAATCTAAACGGAATATTTGGAAAACCATCCACTACTGTACAACACACTGAAGTTTTTATGGTGAAGGTAGGAAATGCATTTACTGCTGCAAGACCAAGCTGTAAATTGTAGCCTAAAAAGTGGTAAGAACATGGTCCACAAAAACACAAATTAAAGATTTCAAGTTGATACCTAGATTCCGAATTTAGTTTTAAAATAGTGTATATAAGTCAAGAGATCATTTCAACATCTTCATATCAATACAACTGACACTGCAGAGCAACCTACTATTGAAACTTTGCATCTGTCCCGTAACGCCCTGTAACGAACTTTTTGTTATTTTAAGCAGCACCATTTTCTGCCAAAACATCTTTTCTTCTTCTACACTTTCAACTTAAAGCACAACAAATCACCTGAACTTTTTGCCTTTGCTGCCATAGGTAACTACTGCTTGCTCCCATGCCAAATATAAGCTTTGATTAAAAATGTTTCTTATTAATTATGAAACATTTTTTTCGAGAGTGCATCTATTAATACCCGTGGCTTCAAACATTTCAACACACACCATGTTAAGATAAAAAGGTTAGAAAGACCTCACAGACAACACAGTTATATACTGACATGAGCATTTCAGATCACCCCAGTTAAGGTTTACCATCTAAATTAAAACATGAATTAAACCATGCCTCAAATCTGTTCTGGGCAAACACAAAGGCCTCCTATGTTTTTTCACTTCTTTGGCTATTTTTGGCATGCCCAAGAACCTGCAAGGAAAAGCAAAACCCCACAGAACTACCTGGCACCACATCACACAAGAGCTTCTGCATATTGCAAAGATCGACTAAGCCAGAAAGGCGCTCAAGCTAATGAGAACAGAACAGAAATATACTTGTCAGGGCTCTTGGATTGCAGCTTCTGTGATACCTCAGCCCAGAGATACAACTCAGTGTTCCACTCAACACAACTGCAAAAAGAACTAGCAACTTAGAACAATTATCTCCAAAAAGCAGATGAAATGTAGCAATACAGTCTTCAAATTCAGAAGCAATCTGTCTAATCTAAAATGGCTTGGTAAACTATGTGCTTACTACTGTCAAGGCACAGATGGAAAAGCTGGAAGTACTCTTGTTTTTAAAATCAGTTATGTCAAGAAAAATGTGATGGCATGACAAACAGTCCTGTTTCCAGATCAGTGCCCACAGAATGTGCCACAGTCAGACTTCACTGGATCTGACTGGTACATAGAGAAGTAACGGTATCACCACCATCAGTTACTCTGGGAAGGAAATACACACATATTTTGAGACCCAAAGTTTTCTGTTTCCCTATGCAGTAAGAGTAATCTCTTCTGTCTGAAGTTTCATTTGGAATGCTTCCATATAACTTGGAACTATTATCAGCATTTATCCACTATAAGATAAAAACTATTGCCTCAAAAACAGGAGAAAACTTAAATGACAGTACTGATGTTCTTCCACTCCCTTCCAAGACGTAATTTATTTACAAACTTTCTATATAGTTATAGCTACATTTCTTTGGGGAAAACAACAAGCATATAAGATAAACTTACCCACTAGATTGTCATTTGAATAATCCTCAGCTTGAACAGGAACTTCTGCAAGTCAAAAGCATAAAAACAATTCAAATTGGACATTCACTAAATATTTACAAAACGATCATTTCCTCCCTTATGCTCAAAACACCTATCAAGACTACTCTGTGATACTTTTGCAGAAGTGGGATGCAAATCTTCCTCAGCTGAATTTTTCCAGGGGAAAGACTAATACTTAAGTAAGCCAATGAGTTTCAAAAAAGATACTTTAAAATTCTGAAAGTAAACTATTCGAAGCACAAATCTCCCCCAGTTTCATATGCTATCACAGTAAGGGCTTAGAAAACATTCATATACTTATTATGTCCTCAGCTCTAACTGTGAAATACTTGACTTCAAAATTCAGTTCTTTCTTTCCATATGTATGTTTAAATTAGACATGTCATATGTCACTGAGTGCCATTACTGCTGAAAAACTAAAGGTTAAACATAGCTCCCTGTTCATGCATAGAGGGAGTCAGAGAAAAGAATTTGAAATAGCCAGGAGGCTGGCTGTAGTTAATAAGAATCAAAGAGAGGAAAATATATTCGCTGACTTCATAAGCCCATAAATTAAGTGCTCAAAACTAGAGAGACATTCCATTTTATTTCTAACATATACTGTCTTTCATGAGTATGTAGTACTGACTAGCTGGTAGAAAACACAGCATAGCAAAGAAATCTTTGATTTCATATGATGTAATATGGCCATTTTAATCAATGTAAGTTAAGTTTTTCTGAACTGATGAGTGTGCTCATCAGTAAGCCACTAAAATATTACCATTAAAAAAACCAAGACCTTAGATTCCAACACCACAGTCATGGCTCCTTTAAAAAAGAAACTGCAGGAAAACTTACGGTATTTTTAGCGTAACTGCAATAAAAATATTTTTATTGCAGCACAGACTTCCATTCTATCACACCTATTACTCTAAATTAACTTTTTTTTTTCTAAGTAACAAACTCATGCAAAAGATAATACACAAACCTGATGCCTCTGGTTCAGCGGCCACAAGATCTTCTGTATGCTCACTTTCTACTGTTGGAAAGAAAATTAAGTGTTGAAAGCTACACACAGTATGTTTACAATTTTGTTTTTGTTTCCCACCAGCCACCCAATCAATTTAATATCAAACAAAAATGAAGACTTAAACTGCAGAACACCTAACTACGGTAAGAGTAGAAAGAAGGTACTGAATGCATTTCATGTCCATAAGTTTAGCTACTCTTTGTTATTAACATCCATTCCTATTACACCCCCAAAGGGATTCTGGCTAAAACTGTTGGTTGTGTGAAACAATATTTTTTTTACCCATTTAATTATAGTAGTGCACATTTTTCAAATGGATAACCTAAATAAACATAGCATCCACCCTTGCCCCATCCCTGGAATTGTTCAAAGTCAGGGGATGGGGCTTTGAGCAACTAGGTCTAGGGAAAGATGTTGTTATCCATGGTGAGGGAGTTAGACCAGATGATCTTTAAATGTCCTTTCCAACCCAAACCATACTGTGAATCTATATAGCACATTTTTCTGCTTTTTCATTTGCTTGGGGTTTTTTAATTTTATTAATAATTAAGTGGAAGAACTTCCCCCCCCCAAACTAAAACCTCATACCTGACAGGTCTTTACCAATATCAAAATCTTCTGATATTTCATCTATAAAAGACAGTATAAAAACACAAATGAAAAATTCCATGTGTTTTTTTTGTTTGCTTTTACATTTACAGATTTCAAAATTATTTCAAAATTGTTTCATCAAAAAACTTTAAGATAACAATTACAAAATACATACCTGGCTCTGTGGCTTCATTCACCTCCTCCAGAAGGTCCTCAACAGCTAAGAACATGTTCAATTCAGAGCAATTATGAATTCAAACCCTCAACTGATGAAACTTTCATACAACACAGAAGAACAGAGCTGGCAAACAGGCATGTTTGACTATGAACAATAAACCGCTATAAACAAACAGGATCTTCAATGAAACTGAGGTGAAAAAAACCCAAACAAGTTACTTTTTAAATTTCCTTCCCTGTTTCACTGAAGAACTGATGCATTCATTAGGTACCCTCTGAACAAATGTTGTTTGTACTAAGACACAGTAACTTTAAAACCTGAAATTTTGAAAACACTTCATCTTTCTAAGCATGATCAGTAATCCAAATTTTACCTTTTGCAGCATCAACTCCATCTGCTACACATTAAAAACGATTTAAAAAAAAAAAAAAAGCCCTCTATAAACTTCCCCTTTAAAAGGCTTTCTTATATTTAATAAACATGCAATTCCCTGGTAAATCCTACATTCCTTCGCGAAGGACAATGAGCAAGTTCTTCAACTTAAAGTTATGGATTCCATAGAAGGATAAATTATTTTAATTTTTATTTGAATATGGCACCTTCTAACTCATTTAACTGTCCTCTTAAACTTCTGAGCCCAAAGGTAACAAAACAGGTTTGTGTCAGGTATGTAAAATTTACTTATACTAAAGAATTTCTTGACTTCATTCTAAACTAAACAATCATATCTTTTTCAATCAGCAGTTTAAGAAGACTGAGACTGTAGTGATAGGACAAGAGGTAATGGGTTAAAACTTAAAACAGGGGAAGTTTAGATTGGATATAAGGAAGAAATTCTTTACTGTAAGGGTGGTGAGGCACTGGAATGGGTTGCCCAAGGAAGTTGGGAATGCTCCATCCCTGGTGGTATTCAAGGCCAGGTTAGACACAGCCTTGGGTGACATAGTTTAGTGTGAGGTGTCCCTGCCCATGGCAGGGGGGTTGGAACTAGATGATCTTAAGGTCCTTTCCAACCCTAACTATTCTATGATTTTATGATTCTAAGACTGTCTTAAAAAAAAAGAGCTGTTATTTCAAGACCACAAAGCATACAGGACCCAGAGAGAGCACTGCAGACAAGTAATTTTTAAATTGCTTCTGCTTATTACACAAAGGTAGTAGCAAAAAGTATGCATCAAAGCAGACATAGTATTGACAGCCTTCAAATTTCAAATCACCTTAAGTACCAGTTACAGGGTTATGAGCAAAGCTCATGGCAGGCAGCAGGTTGAGTGTCTAAGCAGAACTACTGTGTCCCAAATGTCCATAAAAAGCCTCACATATGAACTTTGTTTCATTTGAGATCTTAGAGATGAGTCCTTAAGAATGGCATATTAAAAGAAGGTGCCTAAGTTCATAGTTAAAACCCTAACTTTGTATCTACACAGACAGTAATGAACCTGTGGTATAACTGGCAATATATCGTGATTGAAGATCACACAGATTACATATTTCAATATATATATATAAATAACAGGATTATTTGAATGATTTTTATGCTAACTCAACTGAAATATTTCTCTGACTTCAAAACCAATTCATATTCCACTAACATTTCTTTAGGAGGTTTTTCTACTTTAACTACATAGGAAACAAAGATTTTTCTAATATGCTCCTTATATATAAATACACAGAGATGATGGATGAGTGTTGGAATAAACACACACCCTGCCCACACACATATATATAAATGTATATGTGTGTGTGTGTATGTATATGTATACCTGTATCTTCAGCCTCAGTCTGCTCTTCATGTTTTGGTTCTGAAAGGAGAAAAAAAAATAAAGTTTGAGTGCCCACTGTGCAGAGTATCCTACAAATTTGTTTTTTAAGCATCCTGTTCATTACTGCTAAATGCAAAGCTCTCAAAGACTTTCTCTAGTTTGGGGGCCTGAATAGATATAAGAACCCTCACTGGAGCTTGAGAATTCTATACAAAACCCAAATATCAAATTTGAACATAATGCTGAAATTTGAAGCATTTCTATCTACACAGATGAAATACAGAAAAAAAAAAAAAAGAGCTATAATTCCGTACAGTTATAAAATCCACCCAGACTCCTAATCTTTGAGTAAAGAGCCAGTCTAATTTTTGTAATTCTGAAGAAATAAGTTAAGAATATGCATTATTTTACTTCAGCTAGTATCTGAAAATAGACAAATGCTATCCACTAACCGTCCAAATTTTCAATATAGGTATTGTGAATTTTAGAACTGAAGATGTTCAATGTTCATCCAATGTTTTGGACAATTTTATTATTGCAAAAGGTACTAACTCTCATATGAAAAAATTATTTACATAAGATTTTTTTTTAAATACTAAAAAAGTATGAATTACAAAATAGAGTGATTCACTGTTATTGCGCGGGACCACCACAAGAAACTGCAGAATAGGCAATGATTTTGGAACTAATTCTATGAAAAACTGATGCAGATTACTTTGGGAACCTCCATGAACATCTTACTATTAAAGCAGGTATAGGTAACACTTCTTAAGGACAGGAACCATTTGAGCATTCTCTGTTCATGTCACTACATATGAAGGAGAACGGAAAGTAAAGATTAGAAGTGGTGCTTCTCATTCATATATAGGTGTGAGAAACAAGAGAAGTGATTCCTGATTAGGAACCAATTGTAAAATAAGTATCTCCTGGAAAGGAGAGTAAACCATTAGCCCAGGGAAAAAGCCAGGTCTGTTTTACTTTTCCATTCTATTGAACAGACGCATTTCACCAAGGCCACCATAGCTGAGGCAAATAATTCTTTTCTGTAGACTGAGAAAAACTTGCACTAAGGGCTTAAATACACCTTTGGGCCACTCAAAGTCCTACAATGGGATTTTGACTTCTAACCGAAAGCTGGATGTCAGAATTTCCTTCCTGATGGCAAAGAATAAACCTGAAGGTTTTCTGTCTGAAATATTCTGAAGTTAAGAATCTATGTCCTTTGCTCAGATTACATAAACGTAAAAAATAAACGAGTACTACCATTCTATGTTGAAGACTTGACATGTCTATGTATGCTAAAAAGAGGACCAACATGGTAATACAGTCTATACACATACTCTACACTTGATTTAGTGCTATAAATTGTTTACATACACAGGGGATTTGAACATAAAACCCCCTAAAACCTTAACTTCGAACTTGCAAAGTAATGTGACAGCACAGAAAATTTAAAGGCAAAGCAATTTTACTTTCTTATTAATTAAAGACTTGATACTATCTTTTCACGAAATATAGCAGTTGTCTTACCATGGTCTTCATTATAATTGCTGTGCACTGTATCTTCTGTTTAAAAAAAAAAACAAACAAAACACCCCCCCCCCCAAAATGTAAAAATTCACTGAAATTTAAGACATGAAACACACACAAATAATAATCTATGGTTTATTCAGACCTAATATGATAATCAAAACTATAGTATTTTATCCTGTATTAAAGTTATTAAGAGTTCAAAAAAGGTGAAGATTTCTAAAAGACCTTGTAGGAAGAACTGAAGCATTTTCCGGCATCATGAGAAAGACTTAAAAAGATAAAACACTATGAGCAGGCTTTCCTTACACAGTTCATGAACTCATCTACAAATTACCTAGAATTCAGAATGGAAAAACTCTAAGATTGTATCTATATATAGAAAACTTCTACAATTTTAGAATCCTCCTGTTATGATTCATTTTCTTTTTACAAACTTTTTCTTTTTTTTTTTCTTCTTCAGATACTACCTTTTTCCTGACACTTATCATACCAACTTCAACATCATTGGTAAACTCAAAATATTGTTTACCCACAAAAACATTTCTATGCAATTTGAATTACAAACTGGAAATGTAACCCTCAAAATGCAATTCTGCCCACTAGGATGACATTACAGTAATATTTGTGAAGGTCTTTGTTATTTTTTCAGAATGGAAATAGAAATACAGATGCAGTAACTCACTACGGAACTGATGCTATCTATGAGCTCCAGGAGTTTGGTTTTCTTTGTTTGGGGTTTTAGGTTTGTTTTTTTATATTTTTGGTGTTTTTTGTTTGGTGGGTTTGTTTTTTTTTTTTCATTTGGTTTGGTTTTTTCTTCCTCTTGGTTTGGGGACCACATTCAATAAAACTTCAATAAAAAGAAATGACTTTGGAGTGTACCTGCGTAATGTTCCACAGCATCTTCTAGCATTAACTCAGAGTGACCTTAAATAAAAATATTTAATATTTCATATTCCAATCAAATTTTCATGCAACAACTAAATAGCACAAGAGAAGTTTAAAAGATCACATATTTAGCTCAAGAATAACAGAACTAAACTTAATGAGTTAATATTACAGTGGTTTACTTGAAAGTGACAGCTGGACTGTAAAACACATTCAAGAAGCTACACTGTAAGTAACACAATATAGTAAGGTCCATGATATCTGTATTTACAAGTAGGTCTTTGATAATCCATTGATTAGACAGTAAGATTCCTCACAGAACAAGATATTTATGTATTTCTGAATTGCATTTGTAACAGTAACTCACAAATGTAACAGTAACGTACAAAAAAAAAAAAAATCAGGCTTATTTGAAACTAACAAAAATTGAAAATAAAACTGTGATGAAACAGTCAATATGACATTACTTCAAAGCATGTTTAAAAATATAAGCACAAGTCATTACATTGTCACCTGAAGCCATGAAAATTTACAAACCTGGAGCTTCTGGATCACTTAAGGTATTTTCCACATCCATACTATATTCATGTGAAACTGTAAATTAAATATGAAAAAAAGTATTGTTAAAATAAAATCAATTATTTTAACTTGCATCCATAATGCGTCTGTCGATAGCTTACAAACCTTACAAACACTTGCAACTTGACACACAGCAATCTAATGGAAGGTGTTGGGCCACTCTGTTTTAGCCATCTGTATGAAAACTAGATCCACAAGAACCATTACCCTCCCTCAATTTTTTAATAATTATTTTAAGAAGAATAAAAAAAGGTAATCTTCCCCTATCCTCAAAGCTCTAAAGAAGCTTCTTTACTGATGCCCAGGAGGACCTATTGGTGATGATCTACAGAAGAGAAAAGCCAGAAATCAGACCTTGAGAAACATGTATGTTCACTGCTGGCATCAGAGATCTAAAACAATTTACCTTTTTTTTTTTTTGTTGTTGCTGCCTAGTTAAATATGTGGATTATTTTCCTCTATGACTACAATTCTTTGCAATGTTATTAATATGCTCAGTATGATACATCTGACAACGCACAGTACTGAAGGTAAAGTAACTACTCTTTCACTTGGAGCCATCGCAGCTTGGATTCTAAATTGGTAACTGGAAAGCAGCAGTCTTCCACAAAGACAGGGACAAGTAGTTTTAGATGCATCTAACAAAATTATTTTTGTCTTATCTGGCATCAAACAGGACTTTATAATGGGAAACACTAACACCACTGTATGCGATATCAAGCACAATACAAAGATGAATAAACTAATCATATTAGTCCAGGCAAAATTCCAAAAAGCTTTAAAGATTAATTAAGGTGTGCAGAAAGACAGTGCAAGGCTAGTTCTTGGTGCTGACTCACTCTCTGATAGTAGAATTGGCAATAAAGAAAGAAAAGGTCCTGAAGGAAAGGTTACAAACTGGATGCTTCTGAAAGGTGACTGGATCCGTGTGAGAACAGAAGTTCCTAATGCCAAAAATAACAGGCTAGAATGCCCTTAGCATTGTAGGCTGTATGAAGATAGTAATATAAGCAACAAATCTCATTCTCACTTTCTTAGACTGTACAACCACACATCTCTTGCCTATCCACTTCCTAATCATACACACAGAAAAGTAAAATGAAGTTTTTGCACCAATGAAGACAGTTTCCATACCTGCCATCATTCTTTTTAAGAACCATCTGCAATAGCAAATACACTACAGTCATCTCATTCAAAGTGAAAATATCCAAGACAATCAAGAATAATTGTTTGGTGAAAAAAAGATAAAAAAAATTATCTATCCCTACACCAGTCTAACCTTTTCTGTTTTGCTTTCTCATATAATTTGCTCCTTTGAGACTGAAAGCAAATATTGCCAAGGTTCAAAAAACAGAATTATACCTGGTGCTTCGTATGGTTCAGGCTCCATTGCTCCAAGGTCATCTTCCAAAAGATCAGCATCTAAGAAAGAAACATGTATTTACAAAACTTAAAATTTTTAGATCAATATATGGTACTGCAAATCCTGTAACAGAATATTACATAAGATTATGTAAGTATAGTTAAATATCTAAGCAGAAATTTTAAGAAAATTTCTGACTTCAGCAGGATACGCATAGAGATTGAAATATTTTATTCTTATATATGGCAGGTGGCTGGAACTAGATGATCTTTAAGGTTCCTTCCAACTCTAAGCATCCTATAATTCTAAGATACTGAGAATATGTATACACATATAAACTACTCACATTTGCTCAAAAAATGACTCTCCACAGAAATTTCTGTATAAATGTAAAGGAAGCAGAACATTCACTCTGCCTTCCTACTAGTCATTTTAAAAGATTTAAAATAATTGGAATTTTAATTTCTCCTCTATTCCCCTATTTTAACTTGCACTGTGGATGAATGAAAGATATAGAAACAAGGTCATATAATAGACATAAAGTGAAATTAATTACTTCAGTTGCAAAGAAAAAAATCCCAGTGTATTTCTAGCAATCAAAACTTTTAGTTGATCAATGACATGAATTTTTCCAAAAAGAACAGGTATTAAGATATATGTAAAATTTTCAGTAGTACATCTAAAAAAGCATTCAGAAACATTTTTTTCCTGAATTGGATTTAGATCATATGATTCTTCTTTAATATTTTGATTACAAACAATTATTCTCTTAGAGCGCTATATTAGAGTCGCTTAAGCCATGACAGAAGTAGAATGAGACTAAGTGTCTATAAAAGGCTGTGCTAATAAATTCATAAAAAGTAGTTTGATAAACTAGGAAGTCCAGGAGCAGACTCCATACAGATATTAAAGAAGTCTCTCTTACTGGGAAGAGAATTTGTTTGGTTGAAAGCTGGTATAGCAGTAATTAAATATAATATATATTTATATCAATATACAGTTATATTGATTTTAAAACTCAAGGCATTGATTTAAAAAAAAATTTCTAAATAATACTTGCTGTGGTTAACATTTGTTAAGTCTCTACTGCAAGCAGGAATTATTAATCAAATTTTTAGTGACACATTTCCATTTGTCTGTTCTTATTTCTGACAGAATTTAATTTTCATTATATTTAGTTATTTGGATACCTTTCTGAACTGAATCTGGTGTCTCATATGCTTCTGGCAGTTCATTCTCTAATTCTGTGAGCAAGTCATCTGTTGTGGTAGCTTCAAGTGTTTCTCCATGTACTTCTTCCTTCACTTGGTTATTTACACTTTCATCTACATCTTCATGTCTCTCTCCTAATCAATCATACAGATTGTTAGAGAATACATACCCTGGCAAATTCTATCACCTGCAAGCATTCTGTCTTCAGCATACCCTTCATGTTTTTCAACTGGTTTCCAAAGGGGATGAGGACAGATGACTTGTCTGCACCTTCCAGCAGTATAAACCCGAAGTATCTGCACTGACCTGCCAGTGCCTCCTTCGCCCAACGGTAAAAACCGCCTCTGCTTACCTACTCTTGCATTCCACCCAGTATTTTGAAGAAGCTTTTGTCAAGTGATTGATTTGAGCTACTGCTACCCCCTGGGGAAGAGGCCACAGTTTTAGGATTTGGTGACTGAACTTCCTGTATTCTCTTGCAAATAACAAATTAGCTGATTAGAATGCTTTGTGCAGGCATGAGTACTTGAAGTACGTACCAAAACCAGACTCTTGAGATTCTACAGTCTACCCTACAGTGGTATTTATAAATTCTTCAGTGACTTCTAAGCATTAATGCATTACCAGGCTGGGAGTGAAGAGCTTCACGAAGAACAGACTGAATTTCTTCTTCCAATTCTACCTCAGCATTCTTGTGCTCTAAAAGGATTATAAATTACAGTGAAGGTAAGTGCAAAAGGCAAAGTTTAAACATTAGGTCAAGGCTTGCAGCTTTCAGTAGCCTCCATGAAGTTCTTATTCCATTCCACAAAGTTCTGCAGAGACAGACTTGGTGAACCTCTGCAACTTGCACGATAACAAAAAACAATTTGGGTTTGCTTACTCTCCAGTATGGGAAGTGTTGCCTTAATCACACTAAATTAATTCTGAAGATGAATCAGAAGAATTTATCTACATTGCATTCTCAGCACGTATATTTTTCTCAGTGGCAGTAACACTGATAACTTCAGGTATCTATTCAAACCAAGAATTCTTTTTCAAAGTAATTATTTTCATCCATTACTTTCCTACATTTTAGGCAGCAGCACTAGGATGTCACGTTAGTCAACAAAATGTCACTTGCAGAAGTAGGATTTTGTTGGCTTCATAAACAGGTAAAATACATACTAACATTACAGTATCAAGTCACACCAGAATTAATCACAAACTGATTTCAGGGACAAATTATTACCAGCTACCACACCAGCCCAGGACACAACAGGAATTTGTATGAAGGGTTGCCTTCGTATAAATGTCCTGAAATTAACACTGAGAAACCCAACAGCACAAAACCAAATAAATGCATTGTTCAAATAAAGACCCAAAATGGTACAAAGTTACGGGGGGTGGAAAGAAAGAAAATTTTTAACTTTGCATATTTTACAAACTATAACTTAAAAAAAGTAATGCGAGTCTTTTAAAAACAAATTCTATTTTATTGACCATATGTTCAACATTTGTGGGTTGTGCTAGGGTCACATAAATAATCGAGTCGGATTAGCCTTTTCAAGGAACAGGAGAAAACACGTAGTCTCTGAGTAACACAAAAATGCCAATCACATATATGAAATCTTACATATAGAAGTATTTTTTTTAATTCCTCTTAAACCTAATGAATTTTACTAATTCTATGGGGCTTTTAAAATGTTTAAATGATTTTTTTTTTCTATTTACTGTATTTATGATATACTACTCATTTTAGTGGAAAAGTGAATATTTGATTAACCTTACAAAGTTGACTGTTAGTTTTACGTTCGGTTGGCTGGTTTTGGGCTTTCTGAGGTAGAGAATTTGCTGTTGCATATACATAAAAACCACAACAGTGCATCAACAGAAAGTTATTCTGATGGGATATGGTTCCATGAGAGTTGACAAGAGTGCCTTCTATACATTTAAATTACAAGCTTTTCATGGTCAGTGATTTATATAAAGTTATCAACAGTGATTACTGTTAAATCAATTTAAGTGGATAAGCAACACATAAAAATCAACAAAAGAGTTATTTTTTTTACCCAAAGAACACAATGAGTTAGTTTAGTTTACAAAAGGCCTTACCTGATTCAACATATGATTTCTCAGCAGGCTGGATGGTCTCCTCAGATGCTGGTGATATTGGCTGTGCTGGGACAGATGTTTCTTTAAGGCCTGCATTTTTCAGTTATAAAGTTAACTTCATGCTTTTTTTGATCTTATTCAATTATAAACTAAGAAAGCTGTTTCAATTAGATTAACTGATGCCAAAACTCTCCAAAATGTATTCAATTACACATCTGTCCTGATATACAGTGATATATTCAAAGATTATTCGGATAATAAACAAATATGTTTTGAAGACCAACATATAATGAGGAGAAAAAAGGAACAGAAATTTAAGCACATGCCTTTATTTAAAAGTAACTGAACAAATGACTGTGCTATTCCCAACACCAAATCAGTATCCAGAAGAAAAATAGGCAACAGGCTTTTCTCACTGTTTTCTCTTTGGACAGAAAGTCAAATAAGGTTATCTCAATCTCCAGTTTCTTTTGACAACTAAATTACTACAGAAAAAAACCATGACTGATGGCATTTTACCACTAAGATACTTACTATTTATACCACAGTCTTTCTAGATCAAAACACAATGAAAAGAAAGGAACCAGTACCAGCAATAATCAACATCCTTGTAAGAGATAATTTATAGCCCTGAAAGATTATGCCACATTTTAAGACACATCCTCAAGAAAGAATGTATTGGTATTAGCCTAAACTATTCTTCAGGAAGGTTTCAAGCAAGACTTAAACAACAGAGATTCATACTGGGTGTGAGAAAAACAAAAACATAACCAAAACAAACCCAAACTTACACACACCCACCCCATGAGGACAGTCAAATCAGTGGAAAGACACAGCACAGAAAGGTTGTGCATTCCCATTCTTGGAGGTTTTAAAGGCCATACTAGATAACAGCTACTGTAACCTAGTCATATCTCTGAGATGACCACATTTTGAGCAGGATGCGGGAATAAGGATCTCCTGAAGTCCCTTCCAAATGGAATTCTCCTATAATCTTACGCCATTTTTCCAAGGTTCACATTTAAGTTCCAAGGTCAATAAAGATGAAGATAAAACTACCTTAAGCACACAAAGTAGTTTCTCAAGACCTGTATGCACAGAAATCAGTAGAAAAATAGTATTTAAGAAAGCAGAGGCTACACTATAATGAGCACTCCTGACTGCTAACAGTCTTGGGAAAGTAACTTTAAGTGGAACAAGTACTATATTTCAAGTCAGTAAAGCCTAGTTTTTTTGGTTTGGGTTTTGGTTTTAATTGCCATGTCATGCTGAAGTCAAACGTATCTCAATATCAATAGGACTAGTATGTCTCAAAATGACTATGTAGAGAGATTTTATTATTTTATGCATCCTGAGAAAAATATATATTTATTCTACTGCTCTATGTAAACAATGGGAACAGAAGTAACAGGATGAATTCTACTTACACCTTTTTATATTATTCAAGTTACATGAAGATAAGTAGTTAGGCTGTATCTAGAAGTACTGTAATCAAGAGTCCACTACTATGGAATCAAGGTAAGAAGCTAGAAAAAAAAAGGCACCAAATTTAGACTCTATTTTTTGCCAGTTTTTTTCTGCACCGTTAAGACCCTGAAACATTAAAAAATATTATGAAGACTTACATTAAGAGTAAGAAGTTACTTCCTTCTGCAATCATCTGTAACTACATATTGAGATAAACTCAGTTACTTTTATAAGCCACTGCCTCACACTTTAGAATCTCTAAGCATAGAAACTGCCACTTGTTTTCAAAAATACAGTTCCCTTACATACACACCTCTTTAAAGAAAGTCCTCATATTCTCTGACAACCTGCATCTCCAATTCTAGACAACCACTTGCTTTGCTTCATGAATAAATAGATTCAAAGTATTTCAAAAGATACTCAATATTTCACAGCCAACCAGACTGTTGTGAAAGGAAAGATACTAAAAAGAGTATTTTGGTTGTTTAGCTTGCACATTTCTCAACTTTGCTTTCAGGCTTTTATACACATCCACGATGTGTTTATCTACAGTACTTATTCAACCCTGTCAAGTATGTAATATGTTAAGTCATTTACTTTTTGCAAGATACTATTTTGTCTCATATTTTTATTGAAATAAAGTTGCACTCAGTTTTTACTTGTGTGGTGCATTCTTTGAGCTTATGTGGTAATCTGCTATGTTAAGTTAAATGACAGTACTATTCCATGGAGATATACAACAGCACAACAGACGCCTGGGGCAAAAACCTCATTTTATTGTGTGGCTATCCATATAGCCTGGTGTGCTGCTTAAACAAAATGAAACAAAAATTAAGAGGGGAGGAAAAAAAAGACAACAACCCAAAAACCCACAACAAAACTCTTTTTAGGACCATCTAGACTTTGGGTCATAGATACAATAATCAGAAAGGCAACTCATTCCAAATTCACTCCCAGACAGTTACTTAAGTGTGATTTGAGTGCTCCTCTGTTAAATATCTATCTTAGCACTTATCAGACCAAAGATTAATAAACACGTCTATCATCTTCACAACCTAAAAAAGAATGCTCATTATGCAAGTACATTTATTAGATCTTCATTCTGTCGGTTTTTGCTAAGCATTACAATGTTTACAACACACACATCTTTTAATTCCTTATTCACACATATATAAATATTTAGAAAATAGCTCAGTATATAATCTGTTAAATATCACAGCTAGAATCTTAACCTACAGTACTATTTTCTACAGTTTTCATTTAAACTATTTTTTGTAAATTTCCTCTAAAAAACCCCAACAGATTAGATCTTATTCTACCACCTTCTATACCTGTAGGGATCAAAGCATCTTACACATGTATGTTCTTTACTGCAAGTCTGAGGTAAGTGTATTGCCAACTGCTATACACAACATTTAAGCAAAACTAGGAAAAGAAGCAACCATCAGGACCCTAATCTTACACCACCACCCACATAGACATACTTATGCTCAATCTCACTCCTTAGTTTTGTTTTCTTTAAAATGATACTGCAATATAACAATAATAAAACTTCAAATTTAATTACAAATTTCATTCTGAATCTTGTGTCATTTTATTGTGCAATCAGTATTTCAATATACCCAGCAATATTATTTGTCTGGTAAAATTAGAATATACTACTTTCCCATATAAACATGAAAGCAAGTATAGATTCAATAACATACTAAAATATCTCTGCAGAAATGTTTTGTAACTTTGTCTATTTTAATGAGACTACTGAATAAATCATTCTTTTGTGCCAAAAATACAGGAACTATAAGAGCAAACTAACACAGGAGCTTGCTTACAGAAGTATCACGTACTTGAAAAGTCGTGTTTATAGAAAACAGTAATTGCAAAAATAAGTAAGGTGTTCTCTAATCAAGTTCAACCAGAATACACTAGTAGTAAGCAGTGCATCACTTAAAATGTGACTGGAATCCAACAATACCCATCAATGGTTAAATAGGTGGCCTAATTTTTAGAAATGTTCATTACCAGAAGCTTAGGAAACTCAGAAAAATCAGCACGCAGTTAACTGAACACTGACAATGAAGCTAATGAATCAGGTTTTCAGACTTAAAGATAGCTAATAAATAAATAAATAAATAAATGAAAGAAGAAAGCAGAACATACTGTCACAGGATCAATAAGCAAAAGTATTGTAACATTTTGGTTGAGCAGACACTGAAGTCTCAAATTAACACAGCACTAAAGTTGGACTGAATGCGTATTAAATAGTTTTCTCGGCATACTTAGGGAAAAAAAAAGTTTAGCAGGGAATAATTTACAATTATTTGCTAGGTTCCTATGACAATACATTCCATTAACAATCCTCTTGGTTGTTTTTATGAAACAAAAACTATTTTCCTCTTAGGTGTCCAGAAAATCCTCTTAATGCTGCTTTTAAACTTGCATTTAATATACAGCATAACATTTTCATCCCCATATCAAGAAAAAAGCATTTTAATATGAGGAAACAATGAAAGAGCAAAACAACCCAAGAGATTCAGAGTATGTCTGAAGTAATTTGCATTGATTCCACATTTGATTGTTTTCAATACACAGTTATGCAGGCATATTCACATATGTACGTATTTGAGATTCACAGAAGACATTTTCTGCTTTGTGTTTACACTGCAAGAACATGCTTAACAGCTTTTTAAAAAATATTATTATATATAGCCTTTGTTCACAATTATTTCCAGAAAATATTATGTTCTTATTGCCATATTTACCACATTCACATACATATGCTGAATTTCTCATTCTTCAGGTCTGTTCCTTGGTAGCAGAACTGATACTCTATTTAGTTCTTCTCTTTCTTGTCTTCCTTGGATGGGTTTTTAGCTACCTTTTTTGTTTCTTTCTCTTTTCCCACCTGACTAGTACCATCCTTTTCACTGGCTGATTTTTTTGTAGCCTCCTTGGATTTTACATTTTTGTCTGAGCTTTTTTCCTTTTCTCTGTCTCTTTTAGCCTTGTCAGAATCTTTCTTTAACTTATTCGTATCAACAGCTTTCTTGTCCTTTCGATCAGCAGCATCTTTTCCTTTCCTGGCTTTCTTGGTTTCTTCCTCATCTTTGTTATCCTCCTTTTTGGATTCCTGCTTCTCCCTTAATTTCTTGAGTGGTTCTTTAACAGCTTCTTTTACTTTTCAGTTTTTCATTTAAAAAAGAGGAAATGTTCAATAAGAAAACCATTCTTAGATCAGAAAACATCTTATGAACAACCATCTAAAAGCTTTGATTGAATTATTACTTAATGTTTGTTAGGCACCAATTTTAACTTGCATAATTAACTATTTGAGCTTGAAGCAATTTGAACAATTAGTTTTGACTTTTGGCAATATCTCACACCATGCAGCCAGCCAATAACTAACCTCAGCTTACTGCAACTGCACCCAAATAAAGCATTAATCCATTAAAAACCATGCCTTTATTAGCTTACTGTTAACTAACTTGTGCAGAATGCTAAAATCAGTTTTCTCTGCAAGTATGAAAATCACAGTAGATTTTGAATCTTTGACGAGAGATTCTATAGATCGTACAATGGTAGGATCTATAAATGTCAAGAGCATCACCAAAATAATTATTCTTCCA